CAAATACTGTACAATCGATCGACTTTTGGCTAACCAGCAGGTTAGAAAAAACTTCAGTCAATCGTACGATTTTTGCAAGGTTGGTGGCGTTCCCATATGTAAAAATTTGTACGATTTTTACACTGGGCGTGCACAGACAAAATACGTGTGGTCGATTACCGCAATTCGTCCCGGTGCTTTCTTCTAATTACCGCTAAACCAACCTTGCGATAATCGGGGCAGGATGGGGCCGCCATACTTAAATCGTACGACGGTTCGATCATCGGACGAAAAGTGTCAGCCAATCAGAGCTCACTGACTAGGTATTTTTTCTGTCACAGCTTTCCCTTTGAGGATTAAGCAAATTCTTGTGCATATACATCAAAAACTACACTGTAGAATATTTCCCTACATGTATTGCTATGCAGAATAATAGTGTACACATACACTATATTCAAATACATTTTAAATGAAATGTAGAATCTCTCTCTATTTTGTGATTAGCGTGCCCTAAATTGTCACGCTAACCTTGGCCCAGCACATCTGAAGCCTTTTGCTCACTTAGCATAGATCCTTTACTTCCTATATCACCTTTCAGCACGTTGTGCCAACATGCCAATGCTTATAAATAGTTTTTGCTATCTGAGGATGGAATATTGGAATGCACCGGAAGTAACACTGCCAGTTCAGTGCTGGGTCTTCTACTAATGTTACTTGGTGACCAGCAGACAATAATACTTCCTTCCCAAATGTCAATCCCTAACCTATTAACTGAGGTGCTAATTTTAGACTGTCTTTTTTTGTGTTGCTCCTTATTTTTCCGATTTAGGTAGTATTGATACAGCGCGGTTCTGCATAGCATATGAATAAGTAACTAGGCAGGGTATGATTGATGATTAACATAAGTGTAGCACAGGTGTGTGCTTTTCGTCCCGCTCAGATACTTGTCCCTGAGAATGGTGACCATCCTACTGTAAATAGTGCATAGGATGACCTGTATTGAAAACATCTTTTTTGCTCACTTAGCATAGATCCTTTACTTCCTATATCACCTTTCAGCACGTTGTGCCAACATGCCAATGCTTATAAATAGTTTTTGCTATCTGAGGATGGAATATTGGAATGCACCGGAAGTAACACTGCCAGTTCAGTGCTGGGTCTTCTACTAATGTTACTTGGTGACCAGCAGACAATAATACTACCTAAAGCCCTACCTAAAGCGTACCTAAAGCCCTGAAGGTGCATATCATTGATAATGTGCCAGCTGCACAGTAAATCATTTTCGGGCATAAATATTTAGTAACACAAAGAAATGGCTTTGTTTTTTTTTTTTCATTGTTACCCAAACCATGTGGTTGTGCATAAACATGGTGCACACAAGGAGTACTGTTGGGTATCGAAGATTAATTATGTCCACTGGTACATTTGATTTTTAATTTTGGTATGGGAAAACAAAGCAAGGCCCTTTGAGACATGCAAGCAGCTGCCATTATTTTTATTATTATTGCAGGTATTTCTATAGCACCAACAATTTTACGCAGCACTTTACTCACACATACATTCACATCAGTCCCTGCACTTAAGGAACTTACAATCTAAGTTTCCTTCCTCACGTGCATACAGGGCCACTTTAGACAGGGGCCAATTAACCTTCCATCATGCTTTTGGAGTGTGGGAGGAAGGCATTAGCAGTGTTAAAACAGGAGAAAAGTGACTTGGGGGGTAAACCCCAAAAATAACTCGGGAGCTTAAAGCCATAATGTGATCGTATGCACAGCATATTAGCACATTATGGCACACTGACCTGCCAAACCGATCCTCTCTCTCTCTGGCATTTCCATCTTCGCCTTGGTCCTCTTCCTGGATTGGCATCTTTTGCCTCTTAATATGCCAGGCCAGCAGGAAGTAACTCTAATTTCTGTTACCTCTTGCACATGCGCGGCTCAGTGTACGAAAACAAAAAAAATGCAGAATGGTAGAAAGAGTAAGCTTTTATAAGCAGAAGAGAGTTACTCAGTCTCTTCTGCCATAAAAAACCTAATATCTTTATCTATCTATCCCTATCTAACTATCTTTCTCCTTTATTCCCATTTTAAGAACCTATATTGTAAATTGTGGCATTGCATGCACGGTGTGACTATTTCATTTCCCTGTCTCTTGTTCTACGTTGTTTTCCAATGGAGACTTTAAGCTGCTGAGTTTACCAGGTTACTATAAACTGCTTCAGATCTCCTATGGTTTAGAATACATTGATAACTGTGAAGTGTTTTGTGCAACTAAAAGTGTTGATGCTGGTTTGGTCTAGTTAACAAATTCTGATCTGGAAGTGTATTGCTGCTTATGTATATTGGCTCTTCATTCATGGCGATAGCTGCAGCCAGTGTGCTGTAATGTTCATACATAGTTACATACATAATATTTGAGGTTGAATAAAGACATTTAGTCCATCAAGTCCAACCTACAACATTGTTCATCAATGTTCACCAGAGTTGGGCAATCAGTCCAAATGATCCGGTGTGCTGGGAGGGTGAATGTTGCACTCTGACCTGGATTACGGATCTGTGATCATGTTTTACTGCTGGAAAAATAAGGAAAACAGGCAGATCAGCTTTCAGTATTTTGTCTGAAGGTTTCTGCTCACATTAGTACCCCAATCAGGAGAAGCAAATAACATAAATAAATTATAATTTTTTTTTTAGCATTTTCATAAAGGTGAAAAGTGCCCTTTCACACAGGCGGCATCTGTTCCAATCAACAAGGGAATTGTACACCCATCCCCTGCAAAACGGAAGGGATTTAGCTCTGCATTGTCCTGTCAGGTCCGCCAAACTGGAACTCTGTTCACATTTTGTTTTGTCAGAGGCACTTGGATGTAAATGGATGCATGTCTGTTTACATCTGACTCCCCATAGACCAACATTGAGCTTGTGATCAGATCCTCCCGAAAAAATGACAGGCAGACCCGATTGCTGCAATGTGCGTGTAATGGGCCTTAGAACCTCGGTCCGGTTTTTATCGATGTAGGTCACCCCATTAGGGGTAAAATCTACCCCCTTTTTGTCCATGTGACACAAGAACAAAAATAAAAGCAAGGATAGGTTCTAACCCTCTCCTGCTTGATTCAAAAAGTGATAATTTCAATCACTTCCTATCCCTGTGACACCCTAACACAAACTGGAAGTGGGGGGTTAATCTCCCCAATAAGGAGACGGATGGCAACAAAATCCTGACAGAGGCTCTCTGCCTTCTCTACTTTATCTATAACTAAAAAGATAAAAATTGTGGCTTTAAAGCGGTCCATTGTGAAAATAACATCCAAGGTAAGCTTAATACAGACTAAAGGTGTCCTTAGGCAAACAATGGCTGTCACTCAGACTTCCTGTTTTCATGTTACTTCAGGTGAGAATCTCTTGTGAGTCAGACGTCCACTGATGTATTCTTTCAGGGGAAGAGATTGATAAGATTCGAAAGCCTCTTGTCTTTGATTCCCCCAAGATAAAAAGGCGCCTGGAACTTCTTCCACCCCTTTCTCCCTTTGCACCATAGGGAAATCTATGGTTATTGGCCGCAATGGCCCCTGTCACCATTCATGTGTGTCATTCACACTGTTGGCAGCTGAAGCAGAGCAGAATCGTCTCTACTTCAGGCATACCTGTCATGAGAGAGGTATAGGCCTGCCTTTGCTTGCCTCATGAAAATCCTAGTTGACTAGTCTGGCTTCCAGACGTTTGAATCACAGACCTAGAATGAGCGTTCTGTAAATCAGTGTCAGAATCCCTTATCTCTGTACTTAAAAAGTATTGAAGTAATTCAATTAGTATGACAGCCAGGGAAGGAACATTCTCAAAAGTGGACATCCGCAATGTTGGCCTCCATAATTCTCTTATACCAGAGTGCATCTGTTACAAGTGGATATTGTCTAAATGCAAGAGGTATGTGTGTTCCTACTTAAATCTTTTTTTTTTTTGTTTGCGTGTGTGTATTTCTTCAACATCTGAAAAGTAATTGTTGCCTCTGTGCAGGAGTTTCCTATAATAGACTTGTCACTACTGCTCTCTGTCTCCTTGTGCTGAGTGACTGGTCTTGTATCCACCCCTCCTGTAGTTTTCTGCAGGCAGGCTGTAGTGGGTGGAGCCTGCTGGGTCCCTCCCACAGCTCTGCTCACTGTACTGGTTATGATGATGTTTCTTCTAACTTTTAAAAGCAAATACCATAAATCCACTGTGTAAACCAAATGCTTTTGCAATTTAAGATGTTTGTGGCTTTTGAGAAGTATATTTAAATGACTTTTTTTTTACCTGGAGTTCAGCTTTAAATGTTTGGATTTTTTTCCACCTTTTTAAGCAGTAAAATTTAAGTTTTTTCACCAATGCATTGCAGGGTGTCCTGTATGGTATGTTCACCTGCTTTCTTCCATTGTAGCTAGTTTAGATGGTTTTGGGGGTCCACCAAAAACACAATATAAACGCATATAACCCATGAATTGTGGGAGGAGCTCATCCACCTACAACCGCTCATCGTGAAGAATGGAGTAGACCTTCACAATGCTACGGATGACCGTACAGTGTGGCCCCTATTATGGGTGCCCTACTATATTGATATCACACACACACACACACACACACACACACACACACACACACACACACACACACACACACAC